AAGAGGTCTCATAAAGAGGTCACAGTGTCATCGATTTACGGGTCATTATTGTCCATAGGAGATAACACTAAAACTGCAAACTCGATGATTATTTATTAAGTTTTGAGTAGATTAGATTCAGTGACTAAAGAAAAATGGGAAGAGTCACTAGATTTTGAGCCATTGCCGCTGTGGTTCGATTTCGAAAAAATATTAAATCGTAGGTACAAGCACCTGTCCGCTGAAGCGACTGGCAAGCCAAACAGGAAAAAACTGGGTTCAGCAAGCAACATAATAGAAGTTCGTTGGCTTGCTCCGCTTCCAATAAACAGTGTTTAAAAAGCTACGCTACTCCCGTAGTTTTTTGTTTTGCTCTTGCTACAGCTGTCACTTTTTTCCAGAGCGGGAGCAGAGCCGTAGCAGAAAAATAAAAATTGACTGGTCTGCTCTGCTCCGAGCTACGAAAGTTCAAAGCTATTGCTATAGCAACAGCAGAATAAAAATATTTTGTGCTCCTCGTAGCCGTAGCCGTAGCCAAAAATCTAGAGCGAGAGCAGAGCAGAGTCAAAAATAGTTTTGTTTTGTTTTTGTTTTTTTCTCCCCTGATTTTTATGCACCGTCATTGTGTGACCACTTTATTTACCTCCTTTCTTCCTTACCCACTTTCTTTACCCTTGTAAAAATGATATTTAGGTAATGTTAAACAAACAGAAACAGAAACAACAAATAAATATTAATAACTCCTAATTAAATCAAAATTTAAAAATTATGCTATTCAGTCATGTATTTAATTTTCTATTTAAAAATTTTTTTAGTAAATAATTAATCATCGTCTTCAAATAAACTCAAGTTGTCGATCGCATTATCTAAGTGTGTTGAGTTTAGGCGAACAAGGAATATATTTTCTAATATGTCGTGGCTTAAAAGATTTCTGTTGTCCGACAGTACCAGTTTTAATGAAGAAAATGCCCGCTCTATTGTTACCTATAAATGTTTGGAAATTAAAATTTTGTTTCGAATTAAGTAATAGTTCTTACTTGAGTTAACGGTATAGCAAAACATATTTTGCTTAGTTCGTAGAGCTCTGCATCGCATGATTTCCTCTCTTTCCAAAAATGTAAAACATTTGTACTGGATTTCATATACGGTAGTTATAATGTTTCAATCTTTGCATGTTCATCGGTTGACTAACGCTTACACTTAAAAAGTCATCCAAAATATCAAAATTACTTTTACTATTGCTGTCCTCTGAAGCAATTGAGCTAGTAGACGATGACAATGTTGCAATGGGACTATGCATTTTGATTTGTGCCCACAATGTTTTTAAGAAACTGACTGCCCTTTCCTTTTGAGAGCTGTCCAGAATATGATGGAATCGTGGGTCTAAGTACAAACAAGCTTCGAAGCCAACATTAGATGTTAATTTCTTGGTCTGTGTTTCCATACTTTCAATAAGCGCCTCTCCAATTGTATAAATAATTGAATCCGGAGCACTTTTTGATAAAATTTGATTAGTGGTCAGTTTGCAGACCAACCACAGAGCATAAAAATTCCCATAGTGAAGTTGCTCCTCTTGAAACTGCACTATGGTATTTTGTAGTGGAGCCATAATAGTCACATACGACTCCATAAATTCCCATAACATTTCATTAACTATAAAATCATCATCTCTTGATTTGTTCTCGACAGTTTCAATAAGGCTTAAAATACTTTTCGCCTTACTGAGTTGGTCAACCATGTTGTAAGTTGATCCTCATCTAGTTGGACAATCCAATTGAGGTAATTTAAAACTTTTCAGTTCAAACAAGTCACGGTGCTTCCGAATGTATTTCGTAAGATTTCGGCACATTAACAAATATTCTCTAATATTTGCATTTTTTGTCACGTCGAGTGCACAAAGCTGTCCAGTTTGTGCTGCACAGCGACATATTTGTATATCACCTACAAGCGCAGTTTCAGTTTTTCCAAAAAGCTCGATTTGCTTAATGTACTCGACGTTCTCTTGAATACCGGCATCTTCCATGTCATCTTCGCTCAAGTTCATTTTTGATAAAATGTTCGTCGTCTTTATCATATTTGCCCCGTTATCTGAAGTAATTGACACGATTTGGCTTAGAGATATTCCGTATTTGTCTAATACAGATAGAATCTCCTTGGCAAGATTTTTGGCTGAACATGACCCAGCTCCTCTGAGTTCCACCATTCCGAGAACTCGCGATTTTATTTCATATGAACTAATGAATTGAGCACTGACACCGAATATATTCCGATCAAGTCGCGTTGCACTATAAATTTTTAATGATAGAATCCGATGTTTACATTCGTTATGTATTTCTTGTCGAATTTTTTCTGCTACCTGTCAAAGAACAGATTTGCACTTTGTTCCATTTAATGAAAAGTTTTTCCCACTTTTTTTTTTTAGACCTTGACATATGGGATCAATTATGTTACGCATATTGTCTGATTTTGGAACATTAAATGGGACGCTATTCTCGGTGACTAGACCAATGTAGGACCGGATTAATTGTTTTTTATTGATTTGAACTTTAATTTGCTGATGTTTAACTATTTTTTTGTGCTGCATGCCACTAGAATCATTTTCTTTTTGTTCAGGTCGAATGTCATGCAACATTAAATGTTTCTTTAAATTAAAGGCACGATCTTTTTTTAACATTCGAAAACATGTTTTGCATTTAACGAGCCCGTTGTCACCCTCCTCAAAATATTTGAAAATATTGAACGATTTATTGGTCAGAGACATATTAGCACCTTGAATTACAAGTGACAAATCTGTTTTCTTCTTATCATTCCTACAAGGGTAAAGAAAGTGGGTAAGGAAGAATGAAGGTAAAGAAAGTGGTCACACAGTGACGGTGCATAAAAATCAGGGGAGAAAAAAACAAAAACAAAACTAAGCTAGAGCAGTAGCACATGAAAAAATATTTTTGACTCTGCTCTGCTCTTGCTCTAGATTTTTGGCTACGGCTACGGCTACGAGAAGCACAAAATATTTTTTCTGCGGTTGCTATAGCAATAGCTTTGAACTTTTCGTAGCTCGGAGCAGAGCAGTCAATTTTCATTTTTCTGCTACGGCTCTGCTCCCGCTCTGGAAAAAAGTGACAGCTGTAGCAAGAGCAGAGCAATATTTCTTTGTATCTCGCTGCTACGGAGTAATAAATGCAAACCCTGCCAATAAATAAGCTATTGTAAGGCACAAGGCACAGGTATTGTAAGGCACAATACCATAGTCTTGCCCAGTGTAGCGCGTTCGCTCGACTTGCTGTAATGCAACGGTTTGAGCTTGTAAAGTCAGCCTCACTATGTATAAATTGTCTGCGAAAAGGTCACACGGTTGCGAAGTGTAAATCGACTAGGTGTCAAATTTGTGCAAGATCGCACCACAAACTAAATAGATGTGACCGAAAATAACTGCGAAATTGCAGGAACTTTCGTTGAAAAAACCTAGATTCCGTGATTCGTGTTTACCGAGCCTATTTCACCTATTCAAATTCATGCCTCTATATGCGTTGCGAATCTGCAGAAGGTATTACAGTTTCGTTGTTGACTGCAAAGTCTAAAGTAGCGCTGCTCAAGACAAAGTCACTTCCGCGTCTTGAGTTATGTGCCGCTTACCTTCGCGCAGATCTCTGCCGCAAAATGAATCCTCTAATAAAAGTTCCGATTAAACGAAGTGTAATTTGGTCGGGTTCAGAAGTTACTTTTCATTAGATTCGTTCCCATCCATAGTCGTTGTCAACGTTCGTATCGATTAGTCGCGGCATGTACCAACTAAAATAACCCGGCAGATATAGTGTCCATAGGTCGTGCACTGCGACAACGCGACGATCTTCGTCGGAGCGAATCGCCATCTCACGTAGCTCCGTCGGAGAACCGAGGACGAGGTCGACGCGGTGACACAGTACACATCAAGAAACGGATTCGTATTTGCGTTCATACAGCCGCAAACTCAGTACATGGACGGACTATGGGAAGCAGGTGTAAAGTCAGCCAAGTAACTACTCCTAGGAGCAATCGGGAACGCAAACCTGACCTCGGAGGAACTCTGAGCGCTCTGAGTCAGGACCCCGGACCAGTAGGGTCTAACGTTCTTGCGGCGATGGCGGATTGTCTCGTCAATGAAGCAAATGTTCCGAAATCACGGCTAAGCCAATAACAAACAAGTTCATCGAGGATTTACATCAGGGCCATTTCTTCGACTAGCATTCCACTACGAGCCGTATGTTGAATATTCTTCTTATTTAAAAGTGATTTTTTGTTTTTTGGAAAAATAATGCCTGTATTGTCATGCACTTAAATTAAAAAATGAGCCAGTTGGGATCTGTTGCTTATCAAGAAAATTACAACTACCCGAAATTGAAATACCACTAGAAACATTGCGCGGCATACTTCTCGGTACAGATCCTGAATTTACCCTGTTCCGTGAAGTCAATTCTTTCATTCAATCACAGAATCGTGAACTACAGTACGATGCTGTAGAAATGACAGGCATTGTTAGTCGCAATATTCCACTACTTAATGACGAACAAAAAATTATTTACGACCGCATTATGAAGTGCGGCAGGAAGGACGGACAAGGAAATTACGATTAAAAAAATGGCATGGCCATTGTATCTTCTGGCATTGCAGCAACTTTATTAGATGGAGGCAGGACAGCCCATTTAGCACTTAAGCTGCCATTGAACATACAAAATAATCCAGATGCATTGTGAACATAAAACAACAATCGTAAATGGGCATCATCATAATGTAGCTGCACCCTATCCCTATCTGGGATAGGTCGGGATCACCGGATCAACTGAAAAACAATTGATTAACGAAACTAATACAAGAAGAGAAGAAACCAACCACCCCCCCAACCCGTTGACGACCATTCGCATATCGAAACGGACACGAATTGGACAATGGAACGTGAGGACTTTAATGGAATCAACCAGACTGGCGCATGTTGAAGGAGAAATGAAGAAAATGCAGATCGCAATCGCAGGCATCAGTGAGATGAGATGGAGAGGTAACGGGACAACAACAACATCAAGCGGCAATCTAGTGAAGCACAGCGGGACCAATGATGGAGGCAGGAAGCGGGGTCGGGATATATGTAAAACAGTACAAAACAGGCACTAATTTCCTGGAGCCCAGTATCCGACAGAATCATCATTGCCAGATTCCGATGCAATGCTAGACACATCACCATCGTGCAGTGCTATGCTCCAACAGAAGACGCCAGCGATGACGTCAAAGACGACTTCTACAACGCCCTCACATCCTCACTCACTAGGATCGAAAAAGGTGACATAAAAATTCTCATGGGAGACTTCAATGCGAAAATCGGCCCCAACAACAACGGATTGGAAACAATCATGGGCCGACATGGTGTTGGCACACGCAGCAATAATGGTGACAGGCTAATCGACTTATGTCAGACCTTCCAACTGGTTATTGGTGGCACTGTATGTATTCCTTCACAAGGAGATCCATAAATACACATGGACCTCTCCGAATGGACATACTCGCAACCAAATCGACCACATCTGCATAAGTAGGAAATGGAGACGCTCGATGATGGATGTTAGGAATAGGAGAAGTGCGTCTATCGACAGTGACCACGAGCTGATAATCGGAAAGCTTTTAATCAAGCTCAGACGAAATAGCAACACTGTCAACAGGACCACAAGAAGACCGCCTCCCATTAACGTACAACGGCTGAGTGACTCAAACATGCAGTATACTGAGGAGCACCGCGGAGGAGATGCTTGGCACCCGACAACGCAGGCGCACGGATTGGATATCAGCGCTCACTTGGGAACTTATCAGCAAACGGAACAGCCTAAAGTCGAAAGCAGACCATGACGAACACAAAGAGCTGTGCAAGATGGTGAAGAAATCAGCAAGCAACGACAAAAGAAAATTTCTGGACAGGCTCGCTGAAAATGCAGAAAGCGCAGCCAACACGAACAACATGCGCTCACTGTACCAGATAATTAGTCAACTGACGGCACCCAGATGGAAGACTCTTTACTGATGATGAGGCACAACTCCATCAGCTGCACAGAACAACCGAGCAGCACGCAAGATAACTTCAGGAGTATTGTACCGAGCAATAACCTCAGAATATCACCCACGGCACCATCAATTAGAGAAATAAAAGATGCAATCAGGAAATTAAAACGCAACAAAGCGGCTGGAGATGACGGCATACCGGCCGAACTTCTCCAGATTAACACGCAACTAATGGCCGAAACACTGCATCCACATTTCAATAATATATGGGAAAGTGAGCGGATCCCAACATCCTGGAAAAAAGGAATCATCATTAAGCTACCGAAGAAAGGAGACCTCAGTGACTGCAACAACTGGCGAGGCATTACCCTCTTGAACACAAGTTACAAGGTACTAGCCACTCTACTAAACGAACGTCTTCAGGAAAAAATAGAGCCAACAATACGAGATGAACAAGGAGGTTTCAGACCACACAGGAGCTGCGTAGACCAGGCAAACACACTACGCGCAATATACGAACAAACTGTGGAATGGCGCTCGCCGCTGTACCTCCTGTTCATAGATTTCCAGAAGGCATTCGATTCGGTAGACAGAGCAGCGATATGGAGGGCACTTGCAAGAAAGGGATTGCCAGTGAAAATCATAAACATAGTGAATGCTATGTATGATGATGCTGAGCTGGCGGTACTGCACAACGGGAAAATTAGTGCACCCTTCCAGACGAACACAGGCGTCAAGCAAGGATGTCCTCTATCACCACTTCTGTTCAACTTGGTAGTCGACGAAATTGTGAGAGAAGTATGTATGAACAGACGCGGAATCACCTGGAACTTCTCCCGACATCTAGAAGACTTGGATTACGCGGATGACATATGTCTCTTGGCTCACAAATTCGAAGACATTCAAGCCAATGCTAGGGACCTCGAGATCCGAGCCAGCGCAGTAGGTTTAAAGATCAACGCATCAAAAAAGAAAGCTATGCGGATCAACAACTCCAACACAAACAACATCACAATCGGAGATAATACCATCGACTTCGTGGACAGCTTCACCTACCTCGGTACTATCATAACATCAAATGGTGGAGTGGAAAGTGATGTGGAGAACCGACTGCGCAAAGCGAGGTCTGCATTTGGAAGACTACACCGAGTATGGAGAAACCAGCAGATAAACAGAAAAACAAAGCTGCGCATATTCAACTCGTGTGTAAAATCCATACTGCTATACGGATCGGAGACGTGGCTGACCACTCAAAGGATATTGATGAAGCTGCAGGCTTACATCAATAAGTGCCTAAAAATAATACTTGGGGTATTCTGGCCAGATAGAATATCCAATGAGGACTTATGGCACTGCACAGGAGAGGTCCCAATCCAGGAGCAAATAAAGAAATGGAAATGGATTGGCCACGCTCTGAGGAAGGAACCAGGAAGCATCGTAAGAATGGCTCTGGAATGGAACCCATAAGGAAGCAGAAGAGTGGGTCCAAAGATGACCTGGCGCCGTACAGCACTCCTAGAAATATCCCGGAAGAACATCAGCTGGGACACAATAAAGCAAACAGCGGCAAATAAAGTTAGGTGGAGAGCCCTTGTAGAGGCCCAAAGCTCCCTATGAATGCACTATGGCACGTAAACATTCGCTTGAGGCTATTAACTATTAATATTAACATTAACATTAAGCTATTCGGCGGCTCTTTGTTACTCCTTTCCGGTGATTTCAGGCACACTCTTCCCGTTATTCCACGCTCAACGAACGCTAATTAAATTAATGCTTGCTTACAATCATCGCTACTATGGCGTAATGTTAGTCCGCCGAAATTTTCTCTTAACAACTATTAGATATTGGCGTGAAAATACTGGATGTACTGAAAAAACTGGAAAATAATTATTAATGCACGGTAATGCGCCAGATAATGAGTGAAATTTAGAATTTTGAGGAGAAAGTTACCAACGGTACCGAGATACTGACGAAACGGTGATTGAAAGATCGTACAGAGAGGCGTGACGTTAAATGGCACACAAATTATTTGCAGCAAGATTATCCGGCGGTTGCATGACCCGTCAACGGTAGTTAAGTGTTTTTGCAGCCTTTCAACGTTTCATATCAAGACGATCGTAGCTGACCGACCTTTATTCGGACAATGGAACTCTAGTTCATAGAGGCAAACGCGTTCTGCATGCTATGCAACGCCTAAAAACTGGAGTTCGATCAATCAAACTCCAAATGCGCCACATCTTAGGTTCAACAGCATTAAAATTTGAGGAGCTGAAAACTCTGCTTACACAGATTGAGACGATTCTCAATTCTCGCCCACTTCTGGTCCACATACTTCGGCCCATTTTCTGATCGGAACGCGAATGCGGTGTGCACTTCCTGCACCGAGTATGCCTGGTGTTCCATTAAATCTTTCGGAACGATAGTTCGGTTAGTTTGGGAACGAGACACACTTTTATTCAAGGTTTCTTTATTTTCAGTTTATTTTGATTCTATTTATTAAGCATATAGCTCAAATCTTATCAATGTTCAAATCTACGTACATCTTGCATAAAAGCTCATGATATTTGAGCTTTCCATTGTAACGTCACTGTATTCATAATCACGCCCATCACAATTACATAATTATTATCTCGCATAATTATACGTATTTTTAATCTGTTCTTATTTTAAGCTGCGCAACTCATTTTTGACAGTCAGTTTTTGCTACCATCGCAAGCCTGGCTCATCTGGAATATAGATACATACATACATATTTACGTTTTTAAAGATTCGGTAAATCCAAATAAAAACCAAAATAAAAACAATAAATACAGATCTTACTAATTAGGTGATCCGTTTTATCATCAAATTGTTTTAAATATTTTTTTCCTGACAGTGTAAAGTTTTATCAATTTGTTCGTTGTACGTTTTTTGGAAAAAAAAACTTTGTTGCTCATCAAACATGTTTTATTATAGAACTACTGGGCCTAACCAAAATTCTTTTCATATTGTATAATTTGCCAATAGGTACGTGGAAAGGCTGGACCGACATACTAACCCTGAGGCCATCAATCTTCTGGACAACCGCTACACAACAAAGAGGCTGAAACGGACCCACCCACTGGACCTCTGCCACTCGGGCGAACGGGACTGAGCTGCAGTTGTAAAACCAACAAGGCCCACTAAAGGGCCCGCAATAAATAACTTGAATTCTATCGCTAAGGTTTACTGTTAAAATTAGTTTCCTAGGATAAACAAACATTGTACCACTCAATATTTCATTAAGTTAAGGTCTCCATTATGAAATTTAATTATTGTCCATAACTCCGGACAGATTTTAAATATAACTATTGATTGATTGATAATAAAAAAAAAAAAAAAAAAAAATATTGTATAATTTGAATTCTTTATTCTTTATAAATACCGAAAAAAGTTCATTTTTGTTGCGTCTGCTCTTATGCCACTTTCAAAAAACCTGCACCAAGTGTGAATAATGCATAAATAAAAGATGGTCTTTCTAAATATACTTTTAGTATAAAGTATTTTACTTATATCTTTTAATAACAAATTTGTTCCGTTAAAAATTCTGCCACACTAATTCACAATTATCGCGGAAAAAGTAAGCTCATATTTTTTCAATACACAAATTTATATTATTTGTTTTTAACTATGCCTTATCTCTTTTAGAAACAAACATAATGCAAGGACTTGGTCTTCAAAGCCTTAAGAAAAATCCTGCTGTAAGATTATATAATTACATTTATCTGTTATATATATGTTGCATAACCAATAAAATTTCAGTTAATACCACTTTACGTGTGTGTTGGCGCAGGAGCAATTGGAGCTGTATATTATATGGCCCGTCTTGCAACTCGCAATCCCGACGTAACATGGAATCGCACATCAAATCCTGAGCCTTGGCAAGAGTACAAAGACAAACAGTACAAGGTGGGTTGGCTGTTTTAATACTTCCATATATACATATGTACATAGAAAAAGAAATGTTTAATACAACGTAACCATTGTGAATATTGATTATTTATGGCAGAGTTTGCAAATAACAGTTAATCATTTCAAAGTATCTGGATATAATTTGTTAGGACAGGGTCTGAACTTATTCTGAAAAAAACTAGCCGATTCGGTCTTTTAAAGCCTACTTCATTAAGTCTGTTAGTGGAAAGTACATCACAGTGTGTGATGTAAGAGTAAATGACAATATTATATTGCTTTCCAACTGAAAATATAAAGCCCTACAGTTTGCAGAACTTCAGTTTGATTTTTTTTTGCACTTCGCACACTCACTCCCTCACGACATTTAAGGGGACCCCCCCCATTCTCGATTTTAAATTTTGACGATTTTCAATGGGCTGGCAAATGACCAGAAATTATTTTTTAGGGTTGTAACTGTGCATAAAAAGGAAGAAAACCATTTTACACAATTTTTTTATTTTATTTTTTTTTTTGCAATTAAAGAAAAGCCCTTCTTTTTGGCGGCGCATGTGATTTCCGCTCACATCTGAAACCAAAAATTCCAAAGAGTACATGTTTGGCTCTCGTATGAACTAGGATTATTAACTTTGCTCAAAAATTAACAAAATGGCGGACCTTTGAAAATTATTTTTTAAAAATTGAGTTTTTTTTAGCCACAAATCAAGCTGAAAAGTAAAGAAGATCTTCACCGATTTGATTTATCCTAGTTCATACCAGAGCTATATACATATGTATAGAATAATGTGTTAAAGTTTGGAACCGATTGGATTAATAGTTTTTGAGTAACCTCATGCGCCAGTTGTAAAAACACTGTTTCGAGAAAAACGTGTTTAAAGTTTTTTGACGTCTCTCGCCGTCACCTGAGGCTACCACCATAAATCGGCTATATCTTCAAGTGTTTTTGAGATTTTCACTTGAATTTTCAGGGAAAAATCGATTTTTTGAAACCGAGAATGGAATTGAGAATCAATAACCGATTTGAGAGCTATTTCTGGTATTCACGCCGAACCATAAAAAAAAAACAAAAAAGAAATTAATAAAAAAATTATTCACAAAACAAAAAAAGAATAGGTCTTAGCTAGGTTCGAACCCAGTATCCTGGGTTGGCCCCTCACACATCAGCCAAAAAAACTTCCGCTCAGCTATTCATATGTTGTCGCTCCACTTTTTTTTTCTGCTGTGTCGAAAATACGGTAAACATACTGATATAGTTTTATGATAGTCTATGAAATATAAAAATCAGCGACAAAAATCTCACTAAATGGCCGAAAACGAATTTTACAAAATGAGTGCTAACTGGACATACAAAGTGAAATATGTATATAACTGTCACTAAACGCTCTTTTTTTAGTCAGTTTTCGAACATTTTTGAGATTTTTATTATAGAAAGTCCGTTAACTTCGTATGGCTGACTGGGTATATTGGTATAAATATGTGTTTTAAAAAATTAAAATGTCTAAAATCTGTTTATTTTTTATTTCAGTTTTACTCGCCTGTGAGGGATTACTCTAAAACTAAGAGTGCTGCTCCAAATTTCGAGGAATAATTTGAAATTTGTGTTTTCGTAGTGCAATTATTTAAAATAATGAAATTGATGTAATTTTCATTGCAAAACAAATAAAAATATTCCTGAAAGAAATGTAAATTTACTTTTAAGGTTTCAATTTTCAAATACGTATAGGCATTATTAATAAAGAAAAGAAAGGAAAGCTAACTTTGGGCGGAGCCGAAGTTTATATACCCTTGCAGTTAAAACCGGATATATATCGCAAACATCGGATATAGTTGGCCGATCCTTATGGGAATATGAATATATAATCCAATTTATTACAATACAAAATCTAAAAAAAGTCTCAAGCTTCTATCTTCAACAAGAAAGGAAAGCTAACTTCGGGCGGAGCCGAAGTTTATATACCCTTGCAGTTAAAACCGGATATATATCGCAAACATCGGATATAGTTGGCCGATCCTTATGAGAATATGATAATATAACCTAATTTATTATAATACAAAATCTAAAAAAAAGTCCCAAACTTCTATCTTCAAAAATACCAAAGTTGGTATTTTTACCAAAAAACATTTCCGATCGTTCAGTTCTATGGCAGCTATAGGACATAGTCCGCCGATCCTTATGAAATTTGTCATGTCGTATTATTCTGCCTAAAATAGCTTTCGTGTAAAATTTGAACTCTCTAACTTTAAAAACACAAAAGTTATACCATTTCCGATCAATCAGTTATATGGGAGCTATAGGATATAGTCGGCCGATCCGGGCCGTCCGATTTATATACTGCGTGCAAAGGAAAAAAGGGTGTGTGCAAAGTTTTAAGTCGATAGCTTTAAAACTGAGAGACTAGATCGCTAGAAACAGACAGACAGACGGACATGCTCATATCAACTCAAGAGGTGATCCTGATCAAGAATATATATACTTTATAGGGTCGGAGATGGCTCCTTCACTGCGTTGCACACTTTTGGGAAAAAATTATAATACCATCTGCAAGGGTATAAAAATTAAAGTTTAGATCAGTGGTGGGCAAACTCTCATTTTACATAGCACGCGAGTATAGGGTAGGAAATTCTGCCGCAGCGCTGCCGGCACACTAAGAGTGTAAGCACTCTCAAATTTTTTTTAGAAGCTCTCTCATTTTGATTCATTTGACAGCCCAAACTAAAAATCAAAATTGTTCCACTTCGAAAAATTTTCACAGAAATTGGGTTGGAAAAAGTTTTCTTCATGGAGAATATAGATAGGGAAGCGTAGTTTTTCATTTGTTTAAGAAATGTTGCTAGCAAAGCTTTTTTCAAAATAAAATACTTAATTTTAGTGCCCATTGCAACTTTTGAATTAACGAAAAATTAAATAAAAACATACGTTTTTTTCGCTCAGTGAATTCTCTGCTGTCATTGTTTTTCTCTGCTACGCACACACTCAAATTTTAAACATGTGTTAGTTTTGCCCACCACTGGTTTAAATATACTCTCTCGAGTATATCAAACACACAAAATATAATCTTCCGAAATAATCATACTAATCCATAATAAAATTTTAAATGCCATTTTTTTTTAAACCAATCAAAATGAATATATGGGATCTATATCTTTGAAATATGCATGCAATGTTCACTTATACGCACAAAATTAAATTTATAAAGTTCGAATTTTTAGGACTACTTCTACTTTCACATCGACACAATGGAAAAGCATGTGGTATAAGGATGAACCATATACATATATAAAATTCTGACGGCCTCGAGTATGTCAAAGTGACAATTTTGGATTTTATATTATATTATTATATATTATATATAATTAAATGAAAACTGTATTAAGTTAGTATCTCCGAAAGAAACACTGTTGCGCTCGATACTCCGCCGGTACTCGTATAATATGAGGTTGTTTGGTAATGACATACCGGCTTTTACATTCAAATATAATCGTATCTGGCAATGCTGTACATCGTTTGAAAGGTATTGGCATCACCTTTAAAACGTTGACCTATAGTTTGTTTACATGAGCTTCCACGTTAAAAAATTACAATCGATAGAAATGGAGTTCACAAACGCAGAAATTCGGGCAATTTTGAAATCTTATTTCGCACAGGGAAAAACTGCTGGAATCTCGCAGATACATTGTTGCTGTCTTAGGAGACAATTTTCGATTCAAATCGCCGAACAGTCGTTTAGGCGATTCCGAAGTGGCAATTTTGATACCGAAACACCCAAGCCTTCCAGACGAACAGTGACCGTTGATACGGATAAAATCATGAAAATAGTGGATCGAGATCGTCATGTGACTATTAGAACCATCGCAGAGGAGCTGCAACTAAGCACAGAAACCGTCCATAGGCTTTTAAAGTCGAAAAATTTAACAAAAAAGCTCGATGTATGGGTGCCTCATGAGTTATCCCAAAAAAACCTTTTTGACCGTGTATCAATCTGCGAATCTTTGTTGCACCGTAATAAACAAACTCGACTCATTTATGGATCGGATAATCACTGGTGATGAAAAATGTATCACATATGACAACATAAAGCGTTAAAGATCCTGGTCGAAGCACGGTGAGTCGTCTCAAACGGTGGCAAAGCCAAGACTGACGGCTCAGAATGTGTTGCTGAGTGTATTGTGGGATATCAGAGGAATTATTCATTATGAAGTGTTGCCCTATGGCCAAACCATCAATTCCGACGTCTACTGTGAAAAACTGGAGCGATTGAAGATTGCATTTCAACAGAAGCGGCCAGCGATGGTGAATCGTAAAGGCGTTGTGTTCCATCATGACAACGCCCAGTCCCATACATCATTGGTGACGCATCACAAGCTACGGGAACTTGGTTGGGAAGTGGTAATCTTATCCACCTTATAGTCCCGACATTGCCCCAAGCGATTACCATTTGTTTTGGGCCATGCAAAATGTTTTCGACACATATTGAGTTGAATGGAGGATTGTGAAAATCGAATTGCCGATTTTTTTGCCAGTAAGTTTCCATCAAAATAGCAGAAAATCATCGAAGGCAACGGTACATATAGCACCGTAAATATATAAAATATAGCACTTAAATCGGACAATGTTACCTAGGTAAGTTAAAATCGTCGTCAAAAATGAATAAAGAAACCGGTATGTCACTACCAAACAACCTAATATAAGAATTTATTGTATTCGTGTGAATGAATGTTTCATAGAAAACTAATCATCTCCGACCCCATTAAGTATATATATATTCTTTATCAGCATCAACAGCTGGGTCGATATAGCCATGGTCGTCTGCCCGTATGAGCGGGAGGACCTCGGAGACTGTGGATTTTGTATGGACACTCCTATATCAACCACGCAATTAAAGTTTGTTTAAATTTTTTGCCTCGCTCCTCACGTCAGTATTGACATCACGGTATCAGAGACTCGTTTATTGGTATCAGAGCCAAAACCAAGGACCAAAACCAAAATTAGGGCTTCTGGCCGGAGGACATATTTGTGCCAGAACATTAGCCGGGTAGGAAGAAGAAAAACAATTTTAAAGCTTCCAACTTCTGTTTCATCAGATTCTGAATCATAGTCAACTTTCATGTGTTGCCGAATTCACGAAATGGCGTTTATGCACACACGGATCGTCTGAGTTGAAATGAAAGCGTAAATCGCATAAACACAGTAATAGTTTTTACCGAAACCTCGTTACAACCAGAAATCCCTAGCTCCGATGTTTTTCCCGGTAGATATACCACTTTTAGACGTGACCGATCTCTGCGAAGAGGAGGAGAAGTCCTAATCTATATTGACTCCAATTTCGCTCCTGAAGAGTTAAAGTTACAAGAGTTTGGTGATTTTGAATTTATCAGCGTTAAAGCACTTACCATACAACATATAGCCTACTCATTTCATACAACGAAAATGGACGCAAACATTTCATGCGTGTTCGCCCATAGAGCATCTTACCCTCATCCAAAGCTCAGTTTGATCCAACGAAAAACAGTTTTCTGTTTTTCAGTCTGAGCACCATAAAGAAGGTTGGTCTGAACTTTGATTGATCTATGTTTTTATGCGTGTTGACACATATTCTCTTACACAATTTCGTTTCGAAGTCAGCACACAATTTTGGATTTTTGTAACTTTTCAGGCTACAGAAAACAAAGAAATTTTTTTTTCAGAAAATAAAAAATATCTTAGCTACGTTAAGAGGTACAAATCTAAGGTGGTGGTCGCAGGCGACTTCAACGCATGGGCCGAGGAATGGGGCTTATCCCGTACCAATGCCAGGGGTCGCACCCTCCAAATGCGTAGCGGACTGTTCCGGAGGTCAAAGAGGACCCTCAGTGAGGACTACACTGCGAGCGACCACAAATATATCGTCGGCGACATCAAGAATAGAGCGCAATCTTCCGAAATAGCAAAACCACCAAGGTTTAATCCGGCGACGCTGCAAGCTAAAATGTTCAAGCAGGAACTCAGGATTCCAGATCCTTCGGGCGACGCTGAAGGCGATGTCCAGGCGACCATGCACTATGGTCCAGTCAAACACTTTTTTTGGCCAAAATCCATTGTTTTAAATTTAAGATATAAATGAGATTTTGATCACATTCTAACAGAAAAAGAGCGACCATAAATGTTTTGTACCAAAAATTTGCATACATGGAGCTGCATTCGCAATATCAGCCTTTAAAGTTAGCAGTTTGAATGCAAAAGCTCGTGCAGCGAAATAACGAACTCTTAAGTGTTATTTTCAATAAAAAAATTAAAAAAAAAAAAAAACAAAATTTGAATAAAATTTGTGATGGGTTCTAATCAGTGGGGTTTGTTTCAAAATGTTGAATGTTTGAAATGTTTCAAATTCTTGTAAGTTGTCTAACAAGTGCAATGTTGAAATTAGATCTCATTTTCGAAAAGGTGTACAAAGTGAGTCCAACCTAGTCCAACCCTGTACCCTACTTATTGCGTTTCGTAGAGTTATCAATTCTTATTCAATTGCATATAGTTCGAATAGCCACTTTCAACAACTTTTTTTGGAATTCGCATTTCTAGTTCGCAAACTTAAATTCAACAACTCACAAGACTATATTCTTACGCGTATTTTAAGACGTCCCCGAAGACAATATCTTGATAATTATGGA